CAGTTCAACCATACCAACTATTCCTTGGAAACCTTATACAGGGTCACTAGGGGTTCAAAACGAACTTGTCATCACTTCATAGAAACAATGTTGAGTTCTGGTGCAGTGCTGTAGGATAAGCACTGGACCGTTAACTGTAAGGTTTACAGTTCAAATACTCCATTCACTCCTTGGAAACCATAAACAGGATCTCTATGAGTCAGAACAAACTGAACAGCACTTAGCAACAGTAACAACATAGATAGAAACTATGGAGATCTCAGTATCATCAGACACAACAAGGCCAGGGGCTGAATGAGGAACAAATCATTAATTGAACTCATGCAAATTCAAGTGGAAACTGACAAAAATTAAAACAAATCCTGGAGAGCTAAGCAACCTTAATAATATTCCACCTGAATTTAGGAAGAAACTAAAAAATAGATTTGATGCATTGAACACAAACAACAGAAGACCACATGTGTTTTATAACATAGATCATACATGAAAAGAATAAAAGATCATTAAAAAGACAAGAAAGAATAAAAAGGTCAAAAGAGACTCTGAAACCTGCTGTAGAGCATAGAGAAGCTTAAGTGACTGAAATAAGTAATTAATTAACAGAGCTACACAAAAAATGCCATAGTATTATTATGAAATACAAAGACCTTGAGATAGAAAACCAAAAGGGAAGAACATACTTGACATCGTTCAAGCTGAAAAAACTGGAGAAAAAAAATCAAGCCTTCAGTTGAGATACTGAGGGATTTTCTGGACAAAATATTGAATGATGGAGGAAGCATCAAATGAAAATGGACAAATTGTACAAAATCAGTATACCAGAAGTAATTGGTTGGTGTTCAACCATGCCAGGAGGCAGAATCTGATCAAAAACTGATGCTATTGAAGAAAGAAGTCTAAACTGCACTGAAGGCACTGGCAAAAATCAAGCCTCCAAGAATAGAATGTTTCAACAAATGGCCTCAGCAATAGAATTATTCATTTGTCTGTGTCATAAAATTTGAAAGACAGCTACCTGGTCAACCTACTAGAAGAGATTTATATCTGTGCTCAGCCCAAAGAAAGGTGACCCAACAGAATGTTGAAATGATCGAATAATATTACTATCACAGGCCAATAAAATTCTGCTGAAGACAATTGAAAATTGCTGCGGCTGTTCATTGACAAATAATTGCAAACATTTCAATCAGATTCAGAAGAGGATGTGGAATGAGCAATATGATTATGATGTCAACTAGATCTTGGCTTACAACAGAGAATGCCATAAAAATATTGTAATGGTTAGGGCTTTGTGTCAACTTGACTAGGCCAGGATTTCCAGATGTTTAGCAGTTGGGATGTGCTTATTCTCATATTGATAAAAACGAACAACATATATTGTCAGCTATGAGCAGCCAATCAATTGAAGGGATGCTTCTTTAGGGGCATGGTCTGCTCCAAATATAATGGACAGCAGGATGGACTGTCTTACATTGGGGACCTGGAATTCTACAATTGTAAG